AGCTGCGTAATTGTTACTGCTTTACATTGCCTGGTTGTTTATCTGAGTATTGATGCTAAATATAGCATATTGTACCAGACAAGGAAGTGTCAAATAATTGTGAAAAATAATGACAGTAAAGGCATAAGACTAAGACCAAAATATTAGAAGCATCTGAAGCGACACCAAAAGTTATAAATTAGACACAGTTTGCCTCACCGACAGAAATTTCAGAGAATTTTCTCTTAGCAGACTCAATAAAGAACCGCTCGGCTTTATTCTCAAAATTACGCGGTTACCTTGAGCATAAATGGTGAGTGCACTCCATATTAATTGTGGCAGATTAAAACGAAATCGGATTAAAACGAAACGGGGTCTTTTTCGGAATGGGGTGCAAGATTTAATCATGTGAACAAAAATCTGTTTGCGACACAATATTCAAAGCTGATGACTGGCTGAAGACGTCGTACATGGGGTCACCAATTTTTGTTAAAAAAGAGCAATATGCGATGAATTTTAATTACTAGGCTGCTTGTGGCTTAGATATTAAAGATATTTCTTATTATTAATCTTCACAACACCTCTTGCCGATTTAACAATGAGCAGTCTTTTCGTTTGCAGTAAATGTGGTAACTTACTAGAAATGGAAGGGAAAATGGTTGAATGTATGGCTTGTCATCATCAAGAAGATTTTTCAAGTAAGCACATAAACTTTTATTTCCTCGAATTGCTGACTTGCGCTCATCTTGAAATAGATTTTGAAACAGAGGAAGTGGTAACAAGAAGTAATCCCAAGTCACTCCCATCAAGACTAAGAGAGAAAAGATCGAGAATACGACGGAAAGGCGAGGAGACAGAGAAAGGTGCAACTGTGAGTGATGATGCTGCGAAGTAACCATTTTGTAATATGATATGATTGACGTGGTTTGCATGACTGTCTAGATTAAAGAGAAATGTCCCAACTGTGGACATGATGAGATGACATTCCATACGATGCAGCTTCGCAGTGCTGACGAAGGGCAGACCGTTTTTTACTATTGTCAGAAATGTGGGTTAGTAGTAAAATCTGTAATAATAATGAACGAGACATTTTGTGTGTTTCTCGTACCTATTCTAATGTCTATCGCTTGCTCACGAATAGTTATAAATACTCTATCAACACATGAACAGAAGTTCTATCAAAAAATAAAATATTAATAAGATCTTTTTTGCAATAATAATATGCGTTTATGTATTATCACCCATTGTGTTAAATTATGATCTTACTGAGGTTACGATGAAGACTTGATCATCTAGCATTTTATCATTCCTGGTCCATTTTGCTGTCGAGAATGAGGCTTCTGGGCAGAGCTTATTGTTTACAACACAATCTATTCTTTGCGTTGGCTTATGATATAGATGCCGAATTATCAAAATACTATATTTACGCGCAAAATGTACCGTATTTCACCGACAGGGGGTACATATCTCAATTCGTTTCTTTAAACTCCTATTGGTTGATGAATCAATTATATATTATAATTAAACGCGCATTATTAGATACTACTAATACTGCACCCGGGATAAATCAAAATTTGGCCTTCAAAATTGCCGCAGGGTACAGCTCACTGGGGGGCTCGTGTCGGTGAAATACGGTAATTGTTCGTTTTCCCGAATTCATTCTGATACCCTGATTATTCAAGTTATCAATCGTGAAGAAACTTCAGAACTGATGTCATTAAATGCGCGCAACAATCAATGTTTGTCTACTTAAATTAAATTAAATTCAAGTCAATATTTCTACCTATTCTACCGAGTTATATGCTGTTTCGATTAATCAATATATTTTTCCACGTTACTTTGCGATATGTCCTCACAGACTATTGAATTGTTGGTCCATAACGTGTGCTTAGTAGTAACTCTACTACGCTCACGCTCAATCAACGTGACCCTTTTTTAAGGCCATCAAAAGTTAAACTCAAGTAGGAAGATGATTAACCGCTTCTTTCTCATGGTATATGTTATCTGGTAAAGCAACAACATCGTGCCAAAATGTGAAATAATTTGACGTTAGCTTCAAACTCTGCGTTTTTAAATGTGAACAACTAATTACTAGTATCACATAGCAAGGCGTTTTGATGTTTTCACGTACAAATCCTTTCTTCAACCGCCATAATTCTTACGTCCTATAAATTTGCGTTAGATGTGTAATCATACGCGTAGTGACTTATGCGATCTGAATCGGTAAGTCAACGAAATTCAACCACTCAAAATGTTTACTCTTTATTGTACCAGAAGTCTTTCATACTTGCAGAAACCATATGTGTATTCCATTGGTAATATTATGTATGAGATGACAACTGGAACTACCTTGTGGAGATAGTCAGTTTGATAGGTCTTGTTGACGCTGATCCTGATAAACGTCCAAATGCAGCTATACTTCGGATTGATATTTAACGAGATTATTGCAAACTAGACAATGACAATTCTAATAACAATGTATAGAATATTATCATAATACGTAGACCTTTATCACGTCTCGAGAAGGATGATAAATGCTCTAGTAAGCTCCTACTACAGCCAAACCGAGGAAGAGCTATGGCTTGGATTCAGCGGCAGGTATAAAGAAAACAACTGGATATCATCAATTCAACTTATAATATCAACGTCGTCAGAAATAAACTTAATCAGCTAAAGAAAGTGAAACTTCCAGTAGAGTTAAGAATTTTGTAAAGAAAGCTGTGACTTTGTCTCTTGGTATTGTGTAAATAACAAGTGTGTAACACTTTGTAACACAATATGTGTGGTATATTGCATTGTTATACAGTCTTGCACAATCTTTATCGTCTTGTTTTTATGCAGCCATAAATACGTCAAATTCCAATCACACGTGTTCGCCACGCAGATGTTAATTGAGAACGCTGAGAACCCCCATTCAGTTTAAACGGCCAAGCACTAAAAAATAAAACGTTTGCTTCGTATCCAACCCCCTGAAACCCGCCGACAGTTTCGTATTAATATACGCCCAAAGCGTCGACACACGATATCCCCTTTTTTACCAATAACGTCCCAATGGGACCTTCTACATACCCAAAGAACATGCAATATTCTGGTCTCAACGTTTTGAACTTTCCCAAAAACGAAGGCGAAACCATACAACTCAATGATGGAAGAGTGATAGGGTACAAGGAGTATCACTTTTATCATCAATTTACGAAAAACCCACAAAGACAACTTCGGCCTGTGTTCTTGATTCCCGGATTGCCAGGCACACGGTTTTTCTGCCATCCGAATGTGATCGATAATCTGGTCCGAGATGAAGATGACTATAGCAATGCTTCCGAGCCTGCCTCTTCTTCTTATACTCGGAGGATCACACTAATAGTCGTAGAACGCCCGGGAATTGGACTGTCTACATTTGCAAAGCGAACAATGCTTGACTTTGCAGAGGATGTTCGAGAGCTGTGTATTAAAAAAGGTATTACAGAATTCGATCTGATAGGTTACTCGGCTGGCGGGCCGTTCGGGTTGGCCGTTGGAAAAGTATTGGGTAAAAAGGATGGAAATGTACGATTGAGAAATTTGGCTGTTATAAGCTCTGTTGCGCCTTACCATGCACCCGGATGCACTTCAAGAATGCCTTTAAAATTTAAAATTGCTTGGTTTGTCATTTCTTTTTCGTTATTTCGATATGGTCCAGTAATCGTGTTTCGTCTTTTGGTGATTGAAACTAACAAATTTACTTTTGTTGTCATATTCAATGCTCTCCAAATCTGGGCTATTGCATTCATTCCATACAAACATGGGGTTATGCTCGTCTATTATTCAAATCCATTCCCTGTATAGGTGGCTGACGCGACACTCCCCTCGCATTTTATCAATGTTTGTAAAGTTTGAAGCTCGAAGCTCGCTCAGAGATCCAGCCTCTTCTTTCCGTGAATCGCTCATGGATGGACCATCCTCAGACATTGATATATGTGTTGCGATGCCGGGAATAGAGAGTATGTTTGTAGAATCAGCACTCGAGATGTATACTCGTGGACAATCGAACACTGAATGTTATGAGCTGAGTTTGTGGGGAAAATCGTGGGGGTTTGAACTGAACGAATTGAAAGGAGATAATGTGGTAAGAACAGAACATGACGATGGAGGGATGGAAGCCAAAAAAGGCGCTAGCGACAATAAAACTCTTAGGATAAAAGTATGGCAAGGAGAGCTGGACCCTGGAACCACGGTAGACATGGCCTCATATATTGCTCAAGAAACAGGTGCCGAATTGAGAGTGGTCGAGGGAAAAGGACATATGATATACTTTGAAGTATGGGATGATGTATTCGAGTGGTTCGTGACAAGCGAGTAATCGGAAATGTGGGATTGATCGACTTGTGGTGTTAAAGGGGAACAAAACTAGACTTATTTGATGCGGCGCATGAACTCACTAGTGGTTCAATATTAATTGTGGAATGTGCATAGTTTACGCAATTAGGAAAATAGACTAGAGAAGATGTCAGAGTGAGATTTCTGTTGGCGCATATGATGCACAGTAATATAAGTTATTGTCGAATTAAGCGTTTGATGAAAAAAATGAACGTATGTATGTCAGCACTCTGGAACAGAATGCAAACTACATGTATAACATACACAACGAGCAAGCATTCGTTTTCTTTATTATTCCTTTTTCTGTCCGTCTTTTGTTCCCGCTTTCTCTTCCAAGTTTTCTTTATGCATCTGAAGCGTGAATACCATACTCTGCGCATTCTGTCCCAACACACCAACTACTCCCTGCCCAACCGACCCGAGGAATCCTAACAACTGTCCACGTAACGTAACCAAGCTTGGCAATTTCCCCACTTCTTCTATTCCCATAGGATCTAACAAACTATTCTCAAATTTACCGCCAACCAGGAGGAACTTTTTTTGCTTGTCTAATACAGACAACAAGTCAGATACAAGTTTGGGATTTTCCTCATCCGATACATTAGACGTAATTAAAGCCGTTGGACCAACGATCAATGGTCGTAAGTTGGCATATTCGACCGTTCGCCTAAGCATCGCCAAGAATATTCCTCTACGGATCACTGTTAAATTGGCTCGTTTTTTATCGAGTTCTTTTCGAAGTAGGTGTTGCTCGGCTATTGTTAGATTGTTGTGCTGAAGGACAAGGACAAGGCGGTTTTCGTACAGCAATTTGTAGTAAGCTACATAGTGATAGATGGCAGACGGTGGAAAGTCATTGCCGAATTTAGTTTTCGTTCGTTGTGGAATTGCAGCGTGCGGAAGTTGAGCATGTGCGGTTGTTGTCGTTATTTGAGTCGCGGTTGTGTCTGACGATGGGGAACGAAAGAATTAGAAAACAAGGCACTTTGATGCAATCGATTGAGCATTCAATAAATTCGTGCTTCTTACAATGTAGAATTGATCCTCGAAATGTATATTTAGCACGTAGTGATAATGAATGATGTATGTGCTGTGGTATGCCTATGATAATACCATAATTTGGTTTGTTTGTTAACTAATATCGGTCAGAATTACGCTGATAACAAAAATGAACCTTGTCTGATAGTCATTCTTTTGCATTCATTATAGTGAATCGTGATTTGAATCAGGAAAAAGGTTCGAAATCAGAAAGTCACGCGTTAATGAACCAATTAGTAGTCACAAAAAAATAATAAGGGTAATCACATGACACTTATTACATTCAAGAATTTTCGTGGCAAAAAATCAACAACCAAGTCGGGCCGTCAATACCGATTTATTGTCAAAAAGAAAAGGAAAGAAATGGCGAAACGAGGCACATTGTCCGGTGACTATACAGTGCCGGCTGCATATTATGAACACATGCCAGTTATGGACAGCGACCCTGACGAAACCAATGGAATCGTTCGTTTCCTTCGCGACGAAATATTCGCTCCCAGTAAACGCCGAGGGAATTTGGAAACTGCCATGTCTATCATAGTGTTTGCCGGAGCCGTCGCTCTCTTGAGAAATTATGGAGAACTTTTGGCGGTGTAGGACCGGGCAAAAGAAACATTGCTTAAAAAAGTACCCTATATAAGTAATTATATGATGACTGTAAGATAAAATTTACCCGACAGATGTATTTTGGGAAAGACTGGTTTTTATAATAAAGTTTCTGCGCGAACATGGGAACAGCATAATTTGCATCTGTAAGTATGGAAGTTTGCTTTGAAGAAAGAATGCTTGTATTGTAATTACAATTAACGTCATACTTTATTTTCCAACCATTCTTTTAATAGTGACATGAAATATCTCTCAGTTAACGACTGTACGCCTTGTCCGTATTGGCAGCATACACGTACAATATGAATTTGTGAAATTGCATCAAGTTGTTAGGCTTCACTGATATAAGCATTATTTTGCTCATCTTCTTGATGCTTCATAGAACTCTTTCAGTGCTGCATCATTCCCGGCACACTGATATATTGAAATCAATTACGCCAGTCATAAAAGTGTGTGCCCGTTAAGTAACTCGAGCTGAAATATCAACACAAGCTTTTAATTGCTAGATACAAACAAACCATGCAAAAGTTCTCGGATTACATCGCGCGGTGTGAACCGTATACCATGAATTGTCAGATGCTGTAATAGCTCAGCAATAGCAACCCCAAATTCTTGGTGACTTGCCATTGGGGTCTGATCACGTTATTTTTATTACTAATTTGAGCCCCCTGAAAATTCTTTGTGGCGTCATACCTACAAAACTTGTTACAGCATGTCTGCAAATTTCGATACGAGCACAATAGAATTCAAAAACCCGACCATTTTTATTTATTCACGCCCGCAAAGGAACCAGTAATGTCAAGACCAGCAAACTCAGAAGCTAATAGAAGCATTCCATCCAATTTTCGCCAGCTCCGTGCCTGCCTTTTATGTTCTCTAGTCAAGGTAGACAAGCGCAGCCGTTGCTCGTGAGTAGGTTCACCGACTCATATATTTTTTTTTTTCCCCAGAACTACGAACAATTTAGAAGGGACGGATGCGATAACTGCGAAGATATCGTTCAAATGCGAAATAATTCGGATCGAATTGCAGATTGCACTTCTTCGAGTTTCGATGGGTAAATGTCAAAACTTGACAATTCGGAAAATACTTATTGAAAGACGACGGACTGACATAAAGATTTTTACCAACTAGTTTTATTGCGAGCATGAAACCAACTGGTTCTTGGGTTTCCAAGTTTAAAAAAATAGGTCAGTTGCTTTTTCGAATATGCCATCAAAGAACAGATCTTTTTTGCGTTCCCAATTCGGCTCCATTTGTAACTTTTTCCCCCCATCTCTCTTTCATAGACAACTTCGTTCCAGGCATATATGCTGTTGGAGTAAATGGTCACATACCCGACTGGCTAGAGTATGAGCTAAAACGAAATGGTATTCCGTACGTTTCTCGCGATGGGACTTTAAATCCAAATTCTTCGCTTGAGGACGAGGAAGAAGAATAAATTAACCTAGATCACACTTAGATTTTAGACTTGTCTTTTGGCAATTTTGAGATTTTAATTAAAGTTAAATTGGTTTATGAAATCATAAACGCAAACTCTAACTGGTATGTAGCTATTACGGGCACGTCGTTGCGTTCTCTGTCTCAAAGGTCTATGTAGTATATAAGACATACGTATTATTCCGGAGGTTTCAAGAATCTTCTCTTTTCTCTCCTTATTTCGGCACTGATTGTTATCACTTCATCGGACTGAATCTTTGTAGCAAGATTCTCTTCTGCCAATTTTCTTCTTTCTGCTATTATTGCTTCTCTCTGTGCTCGCTTTTCAGCCAAAAACTGTTCATATGCGTAGGGTCAGAAAATTGAAGAAAGAATACAGGATAGTTTACTCGATCTCTTGAAAATAACTTACTTGCTGAACACTTTCTGCACTTATATCAGACTTTTCATCTGTAAAGATCATTTTTCCACTTGGTTTTGATGTCATAAAGGGAAGAAAACTGGTCTCGTATTCTACCTTGTGTTTTCTTTTAACACACACACAAACGACGAAAAAAGTGCAGAATACTAAGAAACCACTCGATATTTGGCATTCGCACACAAACAATAATTCAGTAAAACACATTACGGCCGTGCTATTTTCCTTCTTTTTGTTTGCCATCGTGTTTCTAACAAAGCCTTTTCTCTCCGTCTTTCGAGTTCCTGTCTGAATGCAGCTTCTTGGTTTCTCTTCATGAACTGGAAGAATTACCTGACATCAACTGAACTGCTTAACATTACTAAACCACAGACATGGAAAAGAACTACACATACACCAAGATTTAAGATTTTCTCAGACAACTGTCTCTTCGGCGGACTTGCTGTTGCTGTATTATTCATTGTTAAAAGGGTACCAGATAGACAAGGCAAAAAGAGCCCTCTGTCTATTAGCACCTTAAGGTTGGACAATGCGCATAATGTCATGTGATTAAACGCGCGCCCTTCACATTTTCATGTTTAGACAATATCTACTTGAATCGATCATATTGAGTTCTCGTTAAAAGCGGGTTTTTTAACAAACTCCCAACTCGCCAATATGCTCAAGTGAAAGTTTATTGTCAATTCTCTGTGAATACTCGAAAAACAGTAATACCAGCTAATATCTTGGAGCGTTTATGACTGACTTGATTGTTTATTCATGTCTTTTTATCTTCAGGTTGCGTCGAATGTTTATTTTTGCTCACGTACTATCCTAGTAGCAGCTTTTCTTAATCTATTCATAACAGCTAATCCCTCATATGCTTCCGACACTCCCTCCACTATTATACAATCCACCTTTTGCTCATCAAGATATCTCAGACCTTTAAAGAGTTCTTGGGCAACCTGTTGCGGTCGTTCGGCGTTTCCCAAAACATATTCTATCGTTTCACGTGACATTGTCCCATTGTCCATATCGCTCTCTATTCCATTACCTTTTATGTTCACCTCTTGCTTGTGACACTCGCCTTGAACGTCTGATACTCCCGTGGTGCGTAGGATTCCGATCTTTTCATTTCCACTCTTTACGGCATTGGCAACCTCACCTTCGACAAGCTTTCTAATGCTATGCACGTCATTCCCTTCGAGGAGAACAACCTGCGCATTGGGTGAGTAATGTCTGTACTTCATTCCGGGTGTAGTCGGCGTATTTTCAAGATTCTTATCGACAAAGTCCTTTTTATACACTCTTAACCCGTTCATTTCCGGTATACTTATCAATGCTTCATACGTCACTCCACCTGGTCTAAGTATGGCCGGACCAGATGCCTGTAATCCGTCCAGAACAGTGGATTCGACACCAAAGCTGCATTGCCCACCGTCAATTATCATCGGTATCTTTCCGTTCAAATCATCCATAACGTGCGACGCCAAAGTCGGTGATGGTCTGCCAGAAACATTCGCAGACGGAGCAGCCAACGGAAATCCGCAAACAGTTATTAATGCTCGGGCGATTGGGTGTGATGGAAATCGTATGGCTACTGTTTCTTGATTACATGTCACTTCGGACGGAATTAGTGATGACTTGGGAAATAGTATGGTCAAAGGGCCTGGCCAAAATTTATGTATGACCGAGTGATATATTTGTGGGATTTCTTCGTTCATGAGGAGGGATCGAAGCATTTTCAGGGAAGATATGTGAACGATGAGAGGGTTATCTGCCGGTCGATTCTTTGTCGCATATATTTGTAATATACCCTTTGCATTAAGAGCATTTGCTGCTAAGCCGTACACCGTCTCTGTGGGTATTGCTACTACTTTATTGTCTTTTAATAATAGAGCTGCTTTAGATAGTGTTTCTAAGCCATTTTGATCTGTGGTAGTGAACGTTGGATCTTCGAGACCGTCGACAAACGAAAAAGAGTTTGGATCAATGGATACTAACTTTGTTTTCATGGTCAATTTCTTCGAAAGCAGTTTAAACGGACTTGACGAGTCCTTTAATACTAAAGCATTTGATACGATTTGATGGAAGGCACGAACAGTCGTTGCTGAGCTCAGAAATATATACTGTCGACACATAAAATAAAAATTGAAAATCTTGACGTTTTAGGATAATTACGTAATACCACCGTGGCGCATCGGTTTGACGCAGCATAATTGTCCGGAGCAAAGCGAAGGACTACCAATGATTGTGATTGATGATGAGGGCGTTATTATTATCTCATTACTTTGAATGACTCATAACGGTTCCCCGTTTCCTAGTGAAAGCAATTTTGACCGACTCCATAATCTATGTTTACATCTTCAATTTTACCCTTAGCAAAAGCACTTCTACTCAATTCAGACCTTTGAAGCATTATGCCTTGCCCCAGAATTCGTAAAAGTTCAATTACAATTTCTTCTTAATCGGGTTATTCCATTAATATTAACGAAGCAATTAACTTTTTTATACACTGAAAATCGCACTCATATCACCTATTTATTTTAGTACCCTGGTTACTCCTGTATTTTTAGGGTATTGATCAGGATACAACTGTCCGAGAAAAATGGGTGACACGACGCGCCTGTAACGTCCCTGTTTGAACTTCTCTCTCTTCGAAGTATTGTAAAAAGGTCCCGTCTCACCAAAAAGACTCGATGTAATTTTGACAATTGATTATTGTTGATGTATTGACTTAACAATGTATTATGCTAAGTGTGTATCTATGTACTTTCAACAATAAATACAGAATGGGCACAAATCAAAAGACCAAAAGTATTAGTACCAATAAACTGAAAGTGGTGGAGGGTACATATGTTGGAGTTTTACGGTAATTTAAGGACGGCATGACCGATCGAGTATTTTTAAGGTCACTAATTGCCCTCATATACTCGATATACGATCCGACAATGTAAGAGTTCACTGTTCTTGTTTGTTGTCTTTTCCCCAACAAAAACCAACTTTGGGGGTGTTGGCTCACAATCTTTAGGTATGCGTTCGAATTTTATATGTATGATATCAGTCTTTTTAATTATGTACGTTCGGTCACCTGGGAGAACATGATCTTGCCTATATGCCGCGTCAATTAAACGGCTCTTTATTATTTTTAAGGCATATACTTTCACTCAAATGCTGTGCCAACCTATTAAAATGCCACACCTACTGTTAGATGTTATTCCAACTTCCGTAAGCTGGCTTAAGCGACGAAACTTTCGTTCAGCAACAAGGCATTAAATAAAACTATTATGGAACAACAACTAATAACAGTCCTTAGGTTAAAAGATAAATTTCGACGCGTTATCATTATACTCACACTTAGTAAATGCGTCCTTCCGATAAATTCGTAATATTTTGCGATTGATGGTGTCAACTTCGTTGTCATCAATTACTTCATTTTTTGTTGATGCGTAAAAAGGTTACCCGCAAAAAATTTTACACATTAGCGTTTAGGGGAGGTTACTTTCAGTGGACATTGGGCAACAGCCCATTTTATATCCTATACATTGTGACCTTGGCAATCAGCGTTGCCACTTCCGAGTAAATATTTCTCAGAGATTCCTTTAAATTTCCGAGACAATAGTATAAGTTATTTCTCCTCCGCTATTATCAGAAGAGATTAAATAACCCTGCCCTGGGATTTCGCAAAAAGAAGTTGGAATTTTTTACCATCGAATAAACCAAATAAACCGTGATTACGAGTTTTATTCAAAAAACATCTTGAGTCTTTAAATCATAAAAAATGGAAGACTTCGTTTGTATCAATGTCTAACCAAGCTGTTGTCTTTATGCTGCCATTGAATCAAAATCATGGCTATCTCTCGATCTAGTATTAGCCAAAGCTCCAGCAGGTAAGAGTTTGCTAGAGTATTTGCTCCGGTCTTACATCGTTATGATAGATGGTATTCCATATCTCGTTGTTAGAATTATTACTTTGCATTTCTCGGATATGCCCACAGATTTCGAATGCAACAGGACGCGTATCAGGATCTGCATCACAACATCGCTCGGCAAGTTTCTTGTATTCTTCTGGTGCCGAATCAGGCATCGTTGGTCGTAGTCCACTCATAATGTCACATATTAAATCTCTATCGAACTGCCTATCTCTAAGAGGTAGTTCACCAGTGGCCATCAAATACATAATAATACCAAAAGAATATATGTCTGATTTCCGAGTAAATTTGTAAGTATGAAAGACTTCTGGTGCAATAAAGGGTAAGTCGCCTCGAATCGTTGACTTCTGTTCATAAGAGTTCACCCATTGAGAAAGACCAAAATCGCATATGAAGGCTTCCATCATAGACGTCCTGTCACACATGACTATATTACTGCCATGAAGATTGCAATGCACTAATTCCGAACTATGGAGAATACCCAGTTGGTATGCGATATCACTCAAATGCTGTGATTTATCCAACCACGTCAATCTGTTAATATTGCGATCCAAATAAGAGAAGAGACTGCCACCGTTGCCATATTCCATAACAATCATGTAGTCTTTCGTTACTGGGTCTTGCGTGATTCCATAAATATCAATGATTGGAGTAAGAGTATGAGGATCAGAGTGCCTGTATACGCACTCGGCATGATTTCCGAACTATTAAACAAAATATATACAGGGTCAGATTAGATTTTGTGTTAGTTGGTATGTCGGAAAAGCTTACCTCGGAAATAAATAGTTCCGGCGTCTGATCAAAATTCTTAAAGCGTTTGAGTATAGCAGTTCCTATATGTACATGTCTGGCAGTATAGACTGTTGTGTAACTACCAGATCCAATCTCTTCGAGGTCATCAAAGTCAGTATACTTACACTCTACACTTTCGTAAAGGTATATAATCTTGTCTAATATTGGACGTATTTCATGGTAAAAAACTAAATAATATTCTCGAGTAGATGGTTCTTGAGTAATTCCAATTATCAACATATTTTTGGGAGTTAATATTGCTGGGTATTTCTTAATTAGCTATTTGAATAAATACTATAATCAATATTAAATGCATATTTAATACTATTACTATTTGCATTATTTTACACGTGAAACTGTTTACCTGATGAAAATCAAATGACCGCGCATCTTGTCTGATCTTTTTGAGCGTCACTTTTATCCATTCATTTGTCGTCGGTTCTAACCAATTCGCTAAATGTGTACATCCATGGCGTAGTGATGTCATCTCTTGTATGTTTGTTAATAAAGAGTATTCAATCCATCGTATATACCCATCATTCTTGTCAGTCATATTCTTCCATGATTCCATAATAAATGAATCCAACGACTTGTTTCCTGTAGTCCAATTAGCAGGTCGTGGTGCTTTACATTCGAAACAGAATACAATTGTCTCGGGTATTAATATAGTTGTACACGCCAGACATAATCCACCCGTATTAAGATAGTTAACTTTTATGAGATAATACTTTTGTTCGCTTGCTTTGTATGTAAATCCGAGGGTAATCCAAACATCCGTAGTACGAAGATCAGGATGCTTATCACATAACTAGTGGAAACGATACATAATAATAAGTTAAACTATTTCATAAACATGACGCATAAGTAAATAGTTTACCTCGGCATAATATAAATCATGTGTCTCATCTGTTATCTCGAGTGGGATCAATTTAACAAGTGCATAAGCAGGTAGACCATACAGGTAATTATTTCCATATACATCAGAATTAATACAATCGAATGGAATCCATTCCAAATAGGCGTCATTTGCTGAGTTTGTTTGTAATTGAGATTTCTTAATAAAGTCATCGAGTTGCTTATTGTTGCTAGTCCATCCATCGGATAATTCTTTATGTCCACAAACGCACCACACAGGACTACATCGGAGTATTCGACATGCAGTGCAAAATCCATATAGAGAATAACAACCATAGAAACGTTTATCAGCAACCATGTAATAACGACCGTCATGCTCGGTAAAGCCTTTTATTAGTTGATTGCGGTACTCAAGCCAGGTGGAATATCGTCTGTATTGACTGACATCGTTATTGCACTTGTGTGTTGGAAGCGAGTATATTCTGGCAAATTCACTTACAAGTGTTGATGTAAATTCTTCCCTACTTCCAAGTAAAGTCAGCATTATCCGTTCTTTTCCGTAAACAGCGTAATGAACAGCGTCCGTTGGACTTGACGTTATGTCAGAAATTTGTGAGTAAGGAATCCATTTGAGTTCATTGCCTGACGATTGAACCAAGTTGTCAATTGCCGGATTATACATATCCTTGGAACTAACGATATGTTGAATGAAGTGGGGAGAATAGTTCAACATTATGTGTTACATAGTACAATATGTATTCATTGGACAACTTCTTGATGGCTATAGAAATTATAACATGTGTAGTGAGAGTGCAAGTTTAATATGCAAATATGTAAGTCGCATGAATATGAATAGCAATTTCTTCTAACACAAAGTTCAATTTGTTACATTATGTGGATGTATATTTTATTGGACATTATATTATTAACTGTAGAAATTAACCCTGCTCCCCGACGCGGTCTCAGCATTCATGTTGAAGCTAATATTCAATAAATGGAAATCCAACCGATGTTTAATATCAATGTTAGTTAATTAAACATGATCGATCCTCCCTTGATATTCGAATTTAATGCATAACGAAACCTCGTTAGACTTTCTTGGTTAGCTTACTTCACTTGAAAACTGCGTATGTGCAATTATAAAGCGTGTTCTGGGACAAGAAAAGCATGAGGCTGTTGCTTTGCTTACGGCACCCGAAGTTACAGAGTACGCGACTACCGGTTTTCCCTGTGAACAGACAGTCGTTCTTTCTGCTCACGATTCACTGAAAATTGTCATCTGCAGGACACGAGGAAAGTGTAAAATTATTAACTCTTTCCTCGTGATAAAACATCCGTTTGATGATTTAAGAATAAAATTATATGTATTTTATTTTATTTATTATTAATTTAATTAGTAAGAATATGTGTAATGCCCAATGACATTATTGCTTTATTAGATACCATTAGCATTCACCATGGGCGTTACTAACAAAGCTTGGAAATATCCGTTTCAATTATTGATTCGCAGTCCATTCATTATACACTCACACTCAAGAAAGCTCGTTGAATTACCACCAACTAGGCTTATTGTTGTACCCGTTTGTACTACCGTACCCACCCCCATATGATCCGCCGCCACCACCACCACCACCACCATAACCGCCACCATAATTGTTTCCATAGTAGAAACTATGAGAGGAACGAGCGTCAGTAAAGTGTCAATGCTTAAAGCAAAATCATGAAATATATTTATATACTTACTCATTACCAGCACTCCCTTGTCCTCCTCGTTCACTGCTGCCCCCAAATTTCCTATAATCTCTATTCTGTCCACGTCCTCCACCACGGCCTTTATATGGCCGACCAGCAGGCACAGCAGCTTCGCGAGCAACAGTTTCTAGCCAACTTGGAATTTCTTGATTCGCTTCTTTTAATAGATCAATCAAATATTTCACAATGCCCTTGTTGCCACGATTAAAGAACGCGGTAGACAACCCAACATTTCCGGCACGTCCAGTACGTCCAATACGATGTACATAATCATCAATATCGGTTGGCAGATCAAAGTTAATCACATGAGTAACATTAGGAATATCTAACCCTCTCGCTGCGACAGCGGTAGCAACCATAATCGTCGTCCTTGCTGATCGGAAGCTATCCAAGGCCCTTTCTCTCTCTTTTTGACTCCTGTCTCCATGGATACTGGTAGCAGGGAAGTTATGCTGAATAAGGAAAGCACTCAACATATCAGCCATGCGTTTAGTCTCCACAAAGATGAGAGTGAGCCCGCGTTCTGTTTCTGGCTGTGAATGGAGAATGTCAAGAAGAACAGATCGTTTGTCTTCATCTTCCACATATTCGATCTTCTGTGTTATGTTTTCTGAAGTGCTACCAACACGGCCGACCGAGAGAAAGACGTAATCCTTTAAGAAATCTCGAGCAAGAATTTGAATATCGCGTGGGAATGTAGCAGAAAACATTAAAGTTTGGCGTTGATGCACATCGGGCATATCTAGTAAGTAACGATCGGACGTGTCAGTTATGTTAAATTTGATATATAACAAAGAATGTAAATGTACTACAGCGAACCCTCTCTAATATCCACCCTGTTAACATTAAGCTCTCTATATTACAATGGTTACAGGACAGATTCCCCCGCAAAAAAATTGGCACTGTCCCGTAAGGTTGATATTGAAAAGGTCCACTGCATTCCCTTTCTTACCTTCGCCTTCAACAATTCTCCTGATCTGTGGTTCAAATCCCATATCTAACATCCTATCTGCCTCATCGAGAACCAAATATCTTATTAAACTTAGACTAACTCTTCCACGCTCAATCAAATCCACCAATCGTCCAGGAGTAGCAGTCAGTAAATCACACCCTCGCTCCAAATTTCTCAATTGGCCATAGATGTCCGCTCCCCCATAAACTACACAAGGTCTAACCCAAGATCTGTAGGCAAACTTTCGAGCTTCCTCATAGATCTGTGAAGCCAATTCTCGCGTCGGTGCCAAAATCAGTCCGGAAGGGTAGGCTTTTCGTGTCCGCGCCATACCACGCGAATAGCCTGCGGGTTCAGGTGGCGTCGAGGGCGGACCGTGTTTAAAGAGTTCAGAAAGTATAGGGAACAAAAAACCACCAGTTTTCCCAGAACCTGTTTGCGCACAAGCCATTAAATCACGACCAGAAGCGACGATTGGAATGGAATACTTTTGCACAGGGGTCGGCGTGGTGTATCGAGCCAAGTCAATATTTGTTAAAAGATGAGCATCCAATGGTGGATTTGTGAACTATAAATAATGAATAAAGAGAGAGTTTAGTTAACCAACATAGTTGAAGCCAAATAATTCGTATTCAAATCAGACTTTCTACTCACTGCTTCAACACATTGGGGTACATTGTTTCCGCTTGCCTCAACAGGGATATCATCATATTTTTCAAAATTAATTCCAGTATGTTGTCTATCAGGATCGTCCGGACATCCAAACAAGTCTCTTTCCAATCTAGAATTCTTCGCTGCGATTATGTGTGTACCATCGACACTCCAGGAACCATAACCTTCATCTTTCCGGCCAAACTCGTCAATCCCCCTATTGCTGTATGAACCATACGCACTATTGCGGGAACGAGCCGAATTCCATCGGTCGGTTTGTGAAGACGCACGATCAGACCAACCTCCGCTACGATTATGCGAAGTGGAAAAGATCAAATCTGAACGAGAACCTCCCCATTGTTCATTGCGTGTTGTACGCTTTCCAGAGTCCCAACCTATTGCTGATGTACTGTTTGAATCGCAAAAAATAAATGGAGTAGGGGAAAAGGATGAGTGTCATAGAATAAATTGTATGAAAATGTAGTTTAGGCAATAAAGGGTGTTTAAAAATGATCTACAAATACACCAAGTGCGTCTATAAGCAAGCTTGTAAACAAGAGAACCAATCAATGTGCTGATTCGCCTTCGGAATATGCACACCACTGCATAATCCATTCCATCATTCTCAATGAAAAAATTCATTTTCGCATTATAGCAATGTCAACACCCAACTTTATAATTTCGCAGTCACTATCAATCCTTTATCTTACTTTTGCTCCTCGACTCTTACATACTAATAATATTCCCTGTAATATTCTGACTTCCCACCATTAATCTTACCTTCCATTGCGGTTGTGCCATCCATTAGGCCGGCGATTTTGCAACGGGGATACGTCTTCTGCAGCTTCAGACGAATAAGTGTCATTTCTATTAGATCTCGCATCATCTCTTCTGTCGTCTCGTCTGTAGTCCCTTCTGTCTTGTCTATCATCTTCTTTTCCCCAGCTATTGTCATCTGAAGCCCAGCTATTGCCGCCATCTCTATTTCTGTCACCACTCCGTTGGTCTGTGGATGTGTTTGAGGAAGAAGTGTCTTTTGTTTCAGTTGATCGATTACGCATGTGGGGAGGGACGTATCGACCAGCGGACGGTCTCCCCGACGGTGTGTCTCTAGTGCCTAAATTAGCTGTGACGTTAAGACGGTGGATAAGATATGTGAAATAACGTGATCCATGAAAGTATTAGTGCCTTATATGCTTCGCTAACGATAAAGCCAAAACAGATACATGTAAAGAGTAAAGTGGAAGATTCGGAGAACGTATGCACAATAATATACGGCTGCGAATACGTTTCATGTAGCGATCGAGAGAAGAGTAAATAGGATGGAGTTAGATGAAGTAGACAGGAAGGCTGTTGTGACGATTGAGTAGAGTGATGGAACTATTCAATAGAAGTAGTACTGAATTCAGGTGATGCGCTAATACTCTATTCTGCGTAGTAGTCGCGATTAAAGGTCGTAGTGTTATTCTGCGCTCGCTCGTGGTGACCCAACGACCTGTATTCACTCTTACACTCAACCATTCTATCTGTCGTATCTGTCTACTGAGCTCTCCGACTCACTCTACTGACTCTCTCTCTGCCTTTCTCCACTAGTTTGGTTTGTGATGACTTACCAGACTGCTCGTCTAGGCGCTGCCCGTTTTTGCCATTGCTCATAATTGAGAGTATTTTTATTATTTTTTGTAGATAGGCAGTAAATATTTAAGTATATTCGTAAAAAACTGTTTGTAAAAAAAAAAGAAACGCAAGGATTAAGAGTGAAAATTTTTGTGGTCACTGCTCGTTGTATTTATATACATTTTTTATTTTTGCTTTTCCATACATTCCTGTGTTCCCCTATTCGGCTATATCGCCTTGAAAAACCGGATGTCCGGTCGAAGTCATGTGACTGATTAAAAGCCTCACTGTTATGCGCTTTGACTGAAGCCATTCTCCATTCTCCGCTACGTAAACTATTCAACGTTTTCTTGTACGAAAAAAAATTTTCATGCTCGTATTTATTCTGATGTCTTGTAAAGCTTTTCATTACAGCCGATTCCAAGTAAAAGGAATATAAAGGCATTAGTGGCAAGACCTGGATGTCAATTCTTTTCTTTATTTTGCGCGTGAGACTTTCGTATTAGATGATGTCATTAACAAAGCTTAATAATTACCGATCAGAAACCCATTCCCGATCAGGATTTTGTTGTACTTGCCATTCTAAGTGATCGAATCACAGAGCTTTTTTTTTCTTTTTGGAGGAAACCCACAGCTTGATGCACGCGTTCAAGTATCGTTTCAAGTCATGTAGAATTGTTGAAAGTCTTGATACTTTGAATGCGAGCTTGTCCAGAGACAACAGATATTTGATGGTAGTACATTAAACGTTGATATTATCCGTTGATTGATGGGTTACCGTACAGTTGGTCACTTGAGATTAAGCGGTTTTGCGCGCTCGTGTTTGATATCTCCATACGACATTTAGATGACATTTGTATGCGCAGTACTACCGATTTTATAATAAGCTTCTTCAGAGAAAAGCAAAAAGTTATTTGTCGAGTTGATTTAATCGAAATGAATTTCCCTTGTGATGCAGGAGTTGCATCAGATCCCTATGTACAAGATATCGTGTGAACAGTCTATGGTATAATCTTTGCACAATGGCAGCAGATATTAATAAAAGCCAATAGGGATGCGCTTCAATCGTTGTACGCTCCATTCTCATTAAAGTCCCATAATAGTACATGCCATTGTTGTGCGTAATAACTCGCTACAGCGATCATTTACTCTGTTAAGAAAGTGTTGAACCTTATACGTCTAGTTATATTACCTGTTACTGACAGAAAAGATGAGTGTTATATCGAGTCCGACATTCAGACATTACCTCTAAAATTGCGTATTGCATGCAGGGGGGATATTTCACCCATTATAGAATTTCTAATTCAGATGCCACTTTATTATAATTTTAGAAACTCGTTCAAAGTGACTATTTATTGAATGATGGAAAAGTTCAAAAATAACTTGCTCAACAAAGTTCAGAAATAAACTCTAATACTATAATAAGAAACATGGCGCTGCAGTGCGTCAATTAGTTTCCGCAGAAGACTTTCAATATTAATTATATAAAAGGTCTAGAGACAAAGGAATGTCGGAGTCGTGAAAAGCATATCAGTATTAATTAGTATTAGTTTTAATTATGGCAATCGATAGAGCGCGGTAGACTCACGTGATTCTTATGGTTTTGATCTGCGATGTAACATTGTCAACTGTTTATGTATAAGGCTGGATAACTCGATCGGAAAAAGTGAGCTGAAACCAGCAATGGAATGTTTAACGACTGCTATAACAATGAAGACGCTTGCTTTAAATTCATATTATATCAGTGTGAATGTTGAACATTTTGGAGTTGTTCAGTACAGAATATTCTAACAAACTAACTTTTATTTAGGAATTGACAGGGCAGGCCATGTGGAATGTCAATTTAACGGACATGTGACAAAGGGGTCGATCACAATTTCCTTAGGAATTGGTCATAGTATTAGTAATATTGGGCTTGCGTAAATAAAGGATATCAATAGGATAATGCGAATCGCCAATTAATTGTATGCCTATGCACAATATAGGCGTAAATTGTGGCTGTAATTATAAGCCATGCCCATGCATTCTAACATACACTCGTGATTTGTGTGACAATAAATTTGTTCTTAATTGTTTAATTGTCGTTTTCTTTGTTCTTGATCTGACGGATAAAGAATTAGCCGGATTGTCATTGATTCAGAAATCCGGTTTTGCTTCAAGACGGAGTGAGTATTAATTAGTCAGACTGATTTGTTAATCACTCAGGTTACTGCGAAATCCGCAATGGGCACATATAACTATAATTGATGGTATTTGGCAATAACAATAACCGAAATACTATTTTTAAAAGCATCACTGTTCCAAAATTGGTTTGAATGGGAATTACTTGTAAAATGTTATTGTTGCCAATAGGTAATAACCCATTGTTCGTTTGGGCATTAGGAATTCGAAACATTTCCACAGCTGAAATTCTGCAACGGGTACGATAAATTTATCGTGTTTTTGAGAAAGAAGAGAGCGCTTTTTACTTGTCCCGATTCGGAATAAATTCGGGCATTATTATTATTATTACTATTACTTACGCATGCATGCGTCGCGTGCATCTAAAGCAACCAAACTATTAGTATGGGCGGTTTAACCGTTAAAAATGTGTGGGGAGGGGCTGTACAGTGTGAAAGTAGGCATACAAATGTAAAAGCGGAAATTCGATGGCAAAGTAAATTAACCATATTAATATTCCGCAGTCTGCCTCGACCAATCGAATAAACCATAACGTGATATTGAGGGTGGCTTAGATCGGTTTACTACAATTGGACAGATATAGTAAACATCGAAATGAACTTCAGCACACATTCGCTATGCCTCCCTCGGCTATAAAGTCAACGCACCAAATAAAATCAAAACGCGCACAACGACAAACTGCTAGCAACCCTAATTATTATGAACCAGAATCCTCTGAAGGAGAGATAGAAGATTATGATATGATACAGGACGATTCTGCCTATGATGGTTGTGATAACGAATATGTAGACTATATGAACTACGAAGACGACGACGGAAGAGAAGGCGAGAGAGAAGACGAGGAAGAAGGTAAGCTGAGTACAGAGAGAAAGCAGTACTCGGGAGACTTTAGTGCGGGTCATTTGAACCAGTGAACCAGAGTAACATGGAAGAATGAACCTCGTTAGATTTAACCTTTGAATGTGCAAACTTCAAGCATACGTTTATTGTTTCTATCATCTTTGACACACTTGTCGACATTTCTCGCCTTTATATTCCACTCCTTCATATCAATAAATTTCTTTCACTTCTCATTAATTCTTTCTTTCTTTCCTCTTCTCATACTTAGATGGCCGATATGATAAACCTGACAGAAAGAAGAAACATAGAGCAACATCCAGCGAATTCCATAGCGATATTAATGAACGATTATATAAAATGAACATGCAATTAGAAAATGACAAAGACATGTGAGTGCGGCGCGTTGCAATTGAGTGCGGGGAAGAGAAACCGGAGTGATCGACAGATCGAAAAATGCTTGTTTGCGCTTATTATTAACAACCGTATCTGATTTGATTTGCACACTCCATTTATTAGACTTTATCAACAATATTTAGCTCAATTTGATAAGGAACTTAAAGAAATACAAGATGGTATGTCATTGGATACTTTTGATGACGTCACATGAATTTTTAGTGCCACGATTTAGCGAACTCTAAGGCATGTGACTGACATTCTTATAACAAGCAAGCCTAATCCCGTGTCTAAACATATTTTTATGGTTTTTCATCTCTAGGCACAAATTCAGACTTTCAAGAAAGTTTACAAGAACTGATCGAAATTCGGGACAACACTGTTACGAAAGCAGAATTATATCGAGAGTATCTGCTAGAATGTGTAAAACGTATGTATGAGGCGGAAGCTAGCCAGGCCGAAGAGGATTATTCGGTACGTTTGCAAATTTATACTCTATAACAAGACCCTACACTTTTATGGCAATAATGATTTACAGGGAGAATGATATGCATGGATATCATAGCTCGTACGATGGATATGACCCTATTTGTTACGTTTAGTTACAACGTGTCTGCCACTATTATCTCCAATTGTTATTATAGACGGAAAAGCAAGGACTGAAGGAAAAAATGTTGGCTGAGGTGGAGGAACGAAGGCGAAAATTAAAGGAAGATAAGGATTCATATGATCTCTTACATGGTATGAGGAACGCGTATACAATTATTACATTCACTATAATCTTTAATGTATTCATTACTTTATCTTATTCTGCTGTCATTTGTCAGATGTGACAGTGGAGACAGCACCACGCCAACACTCGCAAAGGAAACTTCGTGGTACAAAAGCCAAAGATGAGGTGGAGCCGAAAACAAAGCGTTCTAAGGTAGCAGGTCCTTCGGTGACTGCCAGGCTGACAGATAGGGAGATTGAGGATGATCTACTGGAAATGACTAAGGTACAGAAAAACAATGAAGGATGAAACAAGAGGCGAATGGCTGTAGAAGAATAAGCAGTCTCGCTATTTTGGGTGTGACATGGCAAGTTTAATCTGATTCATACTAATACTCAGCCATGTATATTTACGATAGGCATACTCGTCCTCTTCGAAGAAATTAGGCTATTCTCACAAGAAGAAATAACTGCAACGAACACTTGATCTAAAGCCCGTCATACAGATTTATACTAATAAGACTAATAGATGTGATGTTCAGTATAATGTGTCAGAGTACAGACTATCCAAATTATTAAATAAAGCTAATATATTCTGTTTCGTGTAAGTTACTTCCAAACAAACCGATTCATTCAACGTCGTTATAAGTGAATATGGGTTCACGAAATGGAGGCTTTGGTTATGCACACGTGATTAGAAGTTGATAAAATGAAATTCCTCTTATTAAAAAAAAAGCTTGTTATAAAGGCTAGTTACAATAATTCTTCGTGTTGAAACATTTAATATTAATGTGTTCAAGACATCGCGTAAATTATTTTACGGTATACCTTTACGAGAATTGGATTACATCATTAGTAACGGGTTGCATATTAGATTTTTACGAGGAATAGTGCTGTATCCAACATTAGCGTGTACTTCCAATAATGAACGCTCATGTAAAAATTCATACCGGGGACGAGCTTTCCCATCTCATTGATGTTTAGTTGCCATGTTATCCGAGTATGAAAAAAAAGCAGTATGTTTTGAGGAAAGGTTGCAAATATACTTGCTTAAAATGACTCTGAGAGAAAAATTTGCCGAATTGCATGAACGTGAATGATATCTACCAGCTGCCGTCTTAAAAATAAAACGCGTACCGGTTTTACTGTCGAGATTGCAATACGTCTTTTTTGCCAGATAACATTATGATTCCTGCATTCTCGTTAGTATGGGTCAGACTGTAACAAAACCAGACAAATTGATCATTGCTACCACAAGTATTTCATGCGTAATTTATTGAACATAACTCACAGTTCAAAATCTCGTCTGGAGATGGTAAAATTGATGACATGTTGCGCTAGTACAAAGCAGCCGATGTTGTCGCAAACAAAAAAAAAGAGTAATGACGAAACTAATGTCAACGAAATGCACATACACAAGAACAACGCTCATAACTGAATGGCGGTAAAAGATAAACAAGTGAAATTGTATTACAGTCCTGGAAAAATAATGGCATTATACACTAAAAAATTAATACATGGTGTGCCCTCTGCCCGTCTTAATACAAGATTTAACACGATTTGACATACTAATTAGCAATAACCTTTAATGGAAGATCTTGCATATTAACGCAATAAAAGCTTCATTTAACGCTTTTTTTCGTTATGACCATACTTTTGACTCTTTTTTCAACATTATGTTTAAGAACTACCGATACATTTTCTATAGGATTGACGTCAGTGCTACACGTGCCGCTCTTTATAGTAGACCTCCTTTATAGTGGAGACTAATTAAAATCGCGATATAGTGGATAGAGATTCAAAATCATCTATAATAAATTCTATCCGATATACTAATTAATTTTCAAAAACTCTCGATATAGTGAATTTTTGAGAATTTTTTGCTAATAGATTTTTTGATACATTATAAAGAGCGTCACTGTGTATATGAAGGTCATGATAATGACAAAATTCTTCCAGGAAGACGTTTTTTGAGATCCTTTTGAACGTCTTTTGATGCTGAAAAACCATGTCTTTGTCCCATATATTCTATCAGCATTGGTATACAAATGATTTGTAAGAATTCTTCTGTAGAAATGGCGGCGGTCGTATTTTCTACAAAAGTGATTTTGCCATATTAATAACAGACCAGACATGAACTTCTAGTATCAGTGAATATTTACCATAGTAATAGGGGGTTTTGTCTATTTGAGAAAGTTGCTACTACTACTACTACTACTACTACTACTACTACTACTACTAGCCAGTCATCGTATAAAATCTCCATGTAAATTAATTTGAGGCTCTTTCCACCATGTTCAGGTAGAAAACTCTCTCTTATATATTATAATCATAGCAATAATGCAAGTGATATTGATCATTGTTTGAATGCAGTAAAATCAATCAATTGGAGTACATACAGTATATCAAGAATATTGTCAGCAGGAGTAGAGTTTTGTGTTTTTCTCATTTTCAACTGATGTATAATAGGAGATCTTCCACCTACACCCAACTGCTGCGTAACGAATCAAAAACTGCACACTTCCAAAAAGCAATGGATCTAACTGGTAGAACTTTGTGTCAAAATCAACCTCTTCAATTTTTCCTCTCCTTCGAATATGAGCAAATCCTTCACCAAACAGGCAAGTCTGGATCTTCGAAGCTTTCTTTAAATTAGCTGTATTTGGACTTGATGAACTGCCCTCCTGTAATCCACAGTATTGTCATATTCTATATTCCATAATAATAAGATGGTCAACAGACTTGTGCAGGATAAACATAGAGCTGCTTTAGATCTTCCAAAGGTTATACCTATTACTATTGTAAACGGCCGATTTACTATTACTATGGAATTATTTCATTGGTCAAAAATTCCACCTCGAGTATTTTGAATCGGGTGACAAGTTAGTAAACGCATGTATTTATGACTCATTTGTATAATTTTGATTTCGAACACGAACTTGATCACTTGATCATAATAATGATAATTCGCTGAGAGGGAAATAGAATACAGAAGTGACGAGTTCGAATATTGATATGAAATGCATTATATAAACAACTCTCACTCCGGGCGGAAAAAGTAAATTGGTTACTGCTGAAGGGTAAAACTGAGAGCGGAGCTACTTCCCTGGAGTGGCTTCATTTCTTGTAATAAAATATTATATTCTCGTTATTTGTTATTGGAATTATTGAAATCATTATCGATCGTATTATTGTTATCATCGTCTTGCTCTTTATTTTCGATACCGATACTTAGATGTAAGAAAAACCCTAGTGACTAATAAGCAATTTGCCTTTGGCGTAATCTCTTGTCGACTAATAAGCAGGGCATGAGAAGTATTCAGTTATCGTTATTATTAAGCAGCTGCCCTTGGCGTAATTTCTTGTCGACTAATAAGAAAGCATGAGAAGTGTTCAGTTCAGAAAGATTGCGATTATAAGACTTTATTTTAAAACAAAAAAGGCATTCGTAGTATAGACAATGTATAATACTGAGAGTTTAATATGCCGTTTGAAGGTTGATACTCGTTCCATCCAATAAAGTTATTGTGAACTTATTATCGTTCTGTGAATTTATCGTTATGATATTTTGTTTAAGTTAAATATCATTTCGTTAATGCGGGAGGATCATATGCCAAAATGCTAGTAGAGTATCGCAGCCATAGAGTGTGATAGAGACACGAAGCGAAATGCGGATACTCTTGATGAAAATCCAATAGGAGCATTATGATGGAAAGAGAAATATTAATGTGGCGGCAGAAAATAAAATATAACGAAAATTAATATTTCATGTGATAGTATTCCAGGCACATATGTTATACCTGACCTTCGGTGATATATTATTCGTCTTCGTCCGTATGATGAAACGGCGATATTATTATTAAATACTGTATATGTTAACGAAGTTAATAGGCCATTAAGAGTAGCGATTAAATTAGAAATGTTGTAATTCTTATTTAATAACTATATTTATAAATATTACGAATAATATAGAAAGGCTGATGGAGAATATATCCCTTGCCTCAGATATATTCGAGATGTGAACCCCATCATAATAATCAACATAATCATTCGTCTAGCGATAGTGAAATCATTCGTCTAGAAAAAGAATTATTCCTAAATGGATAATTAGTATCTATGTGCGATATTAGAGAATAGATATTTGAATAATATAATAAAGTTGGCTAAGTCGGTGGCCTTATCACTAAGCATCGACACTACAGAGCCCTATTGTCACGGTGAGGGGACGCAGCCGCCTCGCGAAGACAACTGTGAATAAATAATAATAAAAATTATAAGTTTCTAACGTATACATGAGTGGACGTGAATAGTAACTCTGGTTATTGACTTATCAATATTAATATTTAGAGAAAGAACTTCACAAGTGTCAGCGGAGCAACGCATTAGAAAATTCGAGCAGTACACCAATTTACCTCAACTTGTCAAATATAAACATCGTCTATTTTCTGTCAATATTTAGTACATACGTATTCAGTTCAGTTTCCACTGATCAGAACGTAACGTTTTCGCGATATGGCGGAGATTATGCAACAACTGGGTAACAATCTTTTAAATGGGTTTCCCCGATGCATCTTATTTGCAAATAAAAAGCTCACAGTAATATTCGTCTTTCCTGAGTTGGTTCATCTGTGAAAAATTATTGCGGTGTTGAACTTCTCTATTATTCTTATGTTCGCCGGTATGATGCATACACATTTGCACATAGCAGTAATAAAGAAAGTTAAGGCTGTACCGTAGACAATCAAGTAAATTATCATCCATTGAGACAATTCACACTTTAGAGAAACAAGACGTGGGGTAGAATAGAAGGATATGCTTTCGTATTATCGCTGGCTGTTTACGTATGTAAAATTGATTACACCTGATTAATCAACCTCACGTTACACTACATCTCGGCTTTGCGTATTTTTCCTAGTCGAAATTGGAGCTGTTATACTATTACTATTACTATATACATCGAGTATATTTGGTAAAAGCTGATTTTCGATATCCAGTTTTTTTATGCTGTTTATATAATAATAATAATAATAATAATAATAAAAATGGATAACGGGAATCAACATGTGTTATACCACAGAGCAGCCGAACAAGGAGATGCCAGTGCTCAATATAAGCTTGCTTTATGTTATAAGAAGGGAACTGGAGTAGAAAAGGATGAGCAAAAAGCAGTTGAATGGTATGAAAAAGCAGCCAAACAAGGACATGCCAGGGCTCAATATAAGCTTGCTTTATGTTATAAGAAGGGAACTGGAGTAGAAAAGGATGAGCAAAAAGCAGTTGAATGGTA